GGAGGAGACCGGGAGAGGGCACCAGGGCTTAGCAACACCCCCAGTTCCGGAAAGAGCGCTCAGCCCCGCCACAACCTTGCTGCGCACGAATGAGCAACCCAGCCACCTTCAGAACGTCGGTTCCCCTGCCTAAGGGCACCTGTGCTCATACCCACCTCGGGAGAGAGAAGCCTGTGCTAGTGCCCGTGACCAGCGGGTGCTGTCGGTGGCTCTTGCATTGAGGCCGTGGGGCAGGCACCTTGCATTTGATTTCTGGTTCTCACTCTACTCTTCTTACTATTAAAGCTACACTGGCCCGTTCTGGAAAGAAGCCTCTGATGTCAGGTGGACCAAGGAGGACCCTGTGGGCCACCGGGGCACCTGGAAGCCTGGTGCTTCCGGGCGCTGCTGGAGGTTATTAAACACCAGGCAGGTTTTCCCAGGAGCTGCTCAACCCGAGTCCGAGTGCGCAGATGTTCCCAAGGATGGCCTTTGGCCTCTCCGTGTAAGGTACCCTCAAAAGGCTCTTGTACACCCGATTTTTACTCCCTCTGCACTGTGTCCACTCCCTTTCCTCTTCTCTCTCTTTCCATCTTGGCCTTTCTCCAGGCACTTTATACATCAACTCGTTTAATTCCCCCCAAGACCCTTTGGTGATATTCTATCAGTTTTACAGAGGAGGACATGGAGGGTGGAGGAGGATCAGTGACATGTCCAGATACATGCGACTCAGAAGGTGAGATGGGACAGCCTGGCTCTGCTGACCCAACTCGGTGACTGGCCTCTGGTCAGATCGCCAAACCGCTGTTCAAGGAAGATGCTGCAGCTTCAGCAGCCGTCCTGCATGAAGAGGCGACGGATACGGCGGGCTTGGTAAACTACCGAGGAAAAAAAGGGGGGAAATCCACTTTCAGCTCCCAGTCCACAGTCAGTACTCAGTACATGTCCATCTAAAGTTTACATATCTCACTTTTAGGAACTTTCACTACAGAAATGCTCACCCAAGGGTCCAATGGAAGATGTACGTGGATGTTTGTGGGAGCACCATCGCAGGAGCAGAAAACGGGAGATAATGCATGTGGAAGGGGAGCACTGGCCCTCCTTGACGTTTCCTTCCTCATGGAGAACAGCCATGAGTGTAACCCTCCTGGCCTCTCTCTACCCATCTCATTAATCCCCCTCCTCCCAACACACACACACACACACACACACACACACACACACACGAGAGGCCAGCTTTACATGACTGATGCATTTGGGATAAGGACTGGCATGAAGTTCTGCCCCCCAAATCTCGCCTTCCTTTGACAGCACTGCAACCTGCAGAGAGCCCGTAACTGAGTTGCCCTGGGCCAGGCTGTCCTTGGTGGCCAAGACTCTGACTGTGTTGATCCAATAACATCAGTGAAAGGGTGGTGGTCTATCTGATTCTGAGGTTCACTTGCCCACGACTGTCAACCACATTCTCCAAGGCCAACATCATTGCTAATAAAAGTGATGTTTGGTCCTGTCTGTCTTCATTTAATTTCTCAATTGGTTTGATATTTAGACTGGAAAGAAAACTGTGACTCCAACACCCTAAATGTGCATCAGAAAGTGCATGAGGTACGGACTTGCAATTTGTTTTTAACACATTTCATTGATTTTCCACAGAGAGGAAGGGAGAGAGACAGAGAGTTAGAAACATTGATGAAAGAGAAACATCGATCAGCCGCCTCCAGCACATCCCCCACTGGGGATGTGCCCGCAACCCAGGCACACGCCCTTGACCGGAATCGAACCTGGGACCCCTCAGTCCGCAGGCCGACGCTCCATCCACTGAGCCAAACTGGTCCCGGCCGGACTTGCAATTTTTACTGTATAGACTTCTCTGTTGCTCGAATATTTTCTGTAACCACTGTATGTATCTGTTCTTTTTTATGGAAAGAGATAAAAAGAAAACAACACAAAAATGCAATTAGTGTGCTATACCAGAACCTCATGATCTTCAGTGAAAAAGCAAAACAACATTTGTTTTAGGCAATTCAATAAATTCCTGGCCTGTGGCAAGCCTTGATTCTTCCATAATGGGAGGCTCTGCTCTCAGAGCATTGAGAAAAGGGTCTGAAGTGCTGTGTGAGAAGCCCTTTTAGAAGCCTGGGATGCATCAGCGGCTTTGTAAAACCCACTGAGAAAACAATTTCATAACAGGGGTTGGGGGAAGAGGTAGGGAACTAACACCATACTTAATACCTGTCATGTGTGCGGGAGGCTTGCAGGAATTTAGGGTGTGTTGTCATATTGGATCCTTCAAGACTACAAGAGAGAGAATCCTTTCTTTGACTAGTAGGATGAAAACTTAGACTTGAGGAAGATAAGCACTCGCCTCCAACAACACAAATAAAAAGGGGCAAGTCCAAGATTTGAACACAGGACCGACCACTGTACTAGGATTCCTCTCAATCATGAAGATGACTTCCTTAATGCTGGCCTTCCATAGTTGTTTTGCACACAGCATCTCATGTGGTCCTCAAAGCAAGTCTGTGGGTTAGGTAGGGCCAGCAGTCAGTGGCTGGCAGGAGAGGGAACAACCATTGCTCACAGAGAGTTCAAGAACAGGACTGTGTGCAGAGGTGTGGGCGAGGTTAAGAGAACCAACAAGGGAGCTGAGGAGCCAGGGATTAGCAACAATGGGCCTGCGGCTGACAAAGACACTCTCTTGACCAAATTTCACTCCAGTTCTCTGAGTCCTCTTCTGACTGAGTCTCCACCGTGGCGCTGTCTGTCTTTGGCCTGCCTAGCCGGGTCTCAGTAAGAGTCCTGCCATCGGTTTTGTGAGAATCCCCCTACTCCTGATATCTGATCACCCTTCATATCTGGTCAAGTTCCTCATCCCTCACCTTTGATGTCTAAATCCTGTCAGTTTATCAAGAACCCCCCTATTCTCGATGCTTGATGTCTCCTCTTAGTCATCCTCCATCCACTGACCCCTTACCTGCTTCTTTTCTATAAATCCCCATTTGTCCTTTCTTGTATTTCAAGCTGAGTTCAATCTTTCTCCCCTATTGCAATAGTCTTGAATAAAGTGTTCCTTTATTAAATTATGGAATAAAATCTTACATTTTAACAAGTGTCAGAATAATGCTCTTTTCATATATATAATTGATTTCAGAAAGAAAGGGAGAGGGAGAGAGAGATAGAAATGTCAATGATAAGAGAGAATCATTGATTGGCAGCTTCCTGCATGCCCCCTACTTGGGATTGAGCCCACCACCAGGGAATGTGCCCCAGCCAAGAATCGAACTGTGACCTCCTGGTTCATAGGTCTTCGCTCAACCAATGAGCCACATGGGTGGGCCTTTTTTTCTGTAATAAAGGGCAGGGAGAGAAAGCAGTGTTCTCAGAAGCTGGCAAGAACTGCCCTCAGGAGAGGAGCCACCCATATGAGCTTAACCATGGAGAAATGTAGCCACTGTCAAAAATGCAGCCTGGCAAGGGCATCCAGTGGTGGGATAAATACCCTCAACTCTCTCTTTCCTGGTCCACTGGTCTCCCAGCAATGTCTTCCAAGGGCTGACCCAACCTAAAGCCAGAGACAAGGCAGGCAGATGGGGAGTGAAGCCACAGGAAGAAACTGTCTACAGAGTTTAATCTCCTGGGTGGAGAAGGTTGAAAATGGGTTTGGGAGGGATGAGGCAAATGGAGAATAACCCTACTTGGAAATATCATTATACCCATTTAATAGGTGAAGAAACTGAGATTTGATGAATCTGTAACTCAAGATTACACAGCTGAGAGGTAGGACTGCTAGTACTAAAACTTGGGTCTTTTGATTCCCAGACATAAGTTGTTTCCATCACTCCTATACCCATTAACCCCAAGTCTAGCACTGAAAAACTAGCTATTGTTTTTAATCATGTCCCAGTTCTAGGGGTTGACTGGGCTTAGCCAGGTAGTTCTCATTTGGGTTCTCTCACACAGTTACATAGATGGTGGCTGGTACCAGAGTCACCCCAAGATATGTTCACTCAAATATCTGAGCCTGGGCAGAAAGACTCCTATGTCTGGGGCTGGAGCAGCTGGGGGCTCTTCAGCCCTCTTTCCCTATCTCTCTGTTACAACCCTCTCCCCAACTCTCTTCCCCTCCACCATTGAACCTGGGAGAGCAGGGGGTGAGCTGGGGAGATTTTTCCTCTCCTGTAATACAAATTCCCTCAAAAATTAAAAATTTCCCTGTTGTCAAAAGGGAAAGACATCTTTTCTCCTCTCCATCTTCCTTCAGCATTTTCTTTAGAAAACTACCATTAGAAATCCTTTCCCTTTCCCATGCAAATCTTGTTAAAAGCTGATTAAGCCTCTTGCCAGTTTTGCACCCCGGACATTCTTTCTCGAAGGCCTTGTCATCTCTGTGAAATGTGAGCATGAGGAAGACGGAGCTCTGTCTCCCTCTCACTGTGGGAGAGTAGCCCAGGCATGCAGTTCCAAGTTGTAATTTCCCGCTTGTAGAAGAGCTATGAGAAGTTCCTTTTTTCCTTTAGACAAAGACAATTAGCAAATGTGTGCCATGGATTGTATCTGCCTGGCTATATAAGAGGGTAAGATTTTTATTTGTCTTTGCAATCTCTTTTGTGGATTGCTGGTGATGTGCTTCCCAGTTTAGTTTAACACTTATCCAATAATAAAACTGGTTTGTTCTTCATTTTGTGGAGAGGATTCATCTGGTTTGCGGGAGATTTTGTTTTTAATTATTTTTCCAACAAGAAGTCATGTCATTTTTTTGGCATATTTCCAATAGCAATAAGCAGTGTTAGAAAACGAAATAAGCACATTCATTCAATGAATATTTATGGAGTACCTACTCTGACTCAGGTGCTGTGTGCCAGGATGATAGCGGCATGGGGAAGTTGCCCTTGGTAACCTCAGCCCCAAGCACAAAGCCAGAGGTCCTATGATTGGGCCCCCTCCTGGGAGCCCTGGAAAGATGACTGAGGCTGGTGTTTAAAGCTTCAGAGGCTATTATAGGCACACATTGAACAAATCTATCGGTTGGATGGAATAAGCAACTGCAGAATGTATGGTGGATGATACTCAAACTGATAAATTCTATGGGAGCATGTATTGAGGGACCAGAACAAGCCTGGTAATGTCTTAGGTTGGGTCATATCGATCACCATATTTTTAGGTAAAATACATTTGAATATTGACAATTTTATAAGGTTCAACCTAATAGTCCGTTGGTTGTGTCTGGCCAGACTTTATTTCCGTTTTTTGATACAAGACCCCTTTCCTGATCTCAGACCACGGAAGCTTGGGTGGGGCTTTCACCACCAATAGCCCAGGAGTGAGCACATGACCCTGACCTGGAGGAGGAGAGTCACCTCACCAACTAATCACAGTGATTGGCTCAAGAATGGGCACATGACTGAAGCTGGGCCAATAGAGATGACACAGCAGCAACAAAAACAGTATGTGTTGGCACTAAGCTCAAGTTGGGAGCAAGATGACAGCCTTTCCATCGCATGAAGAGATTCTGGCTAAGAATGGAGGCAACGCAGAGTGAGAGAACCAGGAAACAAAGAGAGGCCAGATCTTGAACTCATCACCTGTCACCTAGTTGCAGCTGTGGCTAAAGCCTCTCTCGATAGATGATAGATTATTTTTTAACTTTTTTTGTTCACTTTTGAATCCATTCTGTCACTGGTAACAGAAAGAGCCCTGACATACACTTAAGGAAGGCTTCCAGGGAACGTAATATATGAGCTGAAGGGGTTGATTTGGGGTGGGAAGGGGGAGAGCATTGGGAGGAGTGAGGAGTTGGCTATCCCTGGTTTAAGGCCTTCACCGAGTGACTCTACCAATGAAATGAACTTGCTCTGCCCTGTCAGCTGCTCAATAAACCAAACAAAAAGGTCTGTCCTTGCCTGAATGTGAGCTTTACTGGGAGCCGAGCTAATGTATTATTGATGAGCCATAAATAATGGGGCATGCGTGATTTCCTATTCAGTGTTGAAGTACAAAGATGTAACGCTGACATTTTAATGAGACTTTTATGGTCCGGGTTCACTGTTT